TCCAAGGACAGAAACGCCCGGCAGGCTACAATCCCTGGGGTCGTAACGAGTCAGACACTCCTGAGCGACTTAGCATGCCCGCACTGCGTACCAGTTGTTCTGCTGGGTCCCAGGACACATTAATGAAAAAGGAGGTCAAGCCAGCGGAAAAGATGGATTGGACTGTCATAGAATTGCCGTGAGGTGTGGCAAACGTTTGGAATTACTAAAGGAAAATATTCATTTCATCGTTGATGCGATCATTCACTGACTCCCTCCATGTCTATTTATTTACTGAGTCTCTGGCTGTGCCATTCAACAGGCCCCCGCCACCACGGGGGAGTCAGGGCGCTGGTAGCGGCTGCCGGCCTGAACCTGCCTATCCTCCTCCCCATCCCATCCCATCCCGAGTCCCTCTCGTACTGCAGGGGGCTCCTCACATCCATGTTTGGACACCCTAGCCTACCTCTGAGGCTTCCTAAGTGGTGCTAGTGGTGAAGAACCCGCTGGCCAATGCCGGAGATTGAAGAGATGTGGGTTCAGTCCCTGTGTTGGGAAGATCTCCTGGAGGAGGAAATGGCAACCCATTCCAGTATTCTGGCCTCGGAAATCCCATGGAGAGAGGAGCCTGGTGGGCCACGGTCCACGGGGTCGTAAAGAGTCAGACACGACTGAAGCGACTTAGCACAGCAGGCCTTCACAAGAAGCATCCTTGAACCCTAGAAGCCAGCTCGGGGCTGTTTGAGCAGGGAGTGCCGGGGTCTTAAGGCCCAGAGGGCGGTATGCGTTTGGATGAGCCTGCTTCCTTGGCTTCACTCATTCATCCCCCTGAGGGTGGGGGCAAGGGCAGAGGAGGCCGAGAGCATGCAGGGGCTGGCCCTCAGACAGCAGCCTCGGCATCACCCGGGGGTTAGTGGAAATGCAGAGACTCAAGCCCTTCTCAGACCCTGGGAATCAGAATCCGCATCTTAGCAGTCCAGGTGATTCACATGCATGTTACAGTGTGAGAAACACTGCTCTAAGGGCCTGAGTGTCTAATCCCCTCTTTACAACGATGAGTCTGAGGCCGAAGAGCAGCTTGGGACTGGGCTGCTGGCGGTGTCCGAAAGTACACCTCCGGGCAGCTCATAGTCTCTAGTGGTGAATATGTGCCAAAGCAAATCGCAGAAAAATGTACCTTTTCAGTACCTCAGATTGACAGGGTCCTGGATTAAGAGATTTATAGTAAGTAATCCAAGGAAGAGAATTCTAAGTCCCAGGCAAAGTAATGAAAGGAAGGGTAGAGATAATACATCACTCAGGAAAAAACTTGAGGGAGGGTTGAAAACCTTTTTGTTTCCTATTTCATATCTGGACTCAATGCCCATGAGCTGGAGGGGATTTCCGTAGCCAAAGCTAATTGTCTTTTAAAAATTCTTTATTTTTTTTCACTTCTGCATTCCTTTGGCCTTTTCTCCTTCTTTTCTTAGGATATTTTAGTTCCCAATCCTTTCTGATGCATCCATTTTAGCCCTGTTTTTCTACACTTCTCTGTATTGCTGTTCTTAAATCTTTCACTCTGCTTCAAAGAACACAAAACAAAGAGAAGTGAAAGGGACAAAGGTGAAAAATATGTTCTGGTGCCAATTTCATGCTGCTACCAATTCCAAGCTAATAAATTTTAAAAAATACATAATTTTTGTTCATACATAAAAACAGAATTGCATTTCAATTTTGCAAGTACCCTTCACCCAGTTACAATTATCAACATATTGCCTGTTGTGTTTCAGCTGCTTTATTCACATTGCCATCTCTCCCCTAACTTTAATTTCCCCTTTCTTCCTCCCTCCCTCTTCTCTTTCTCTCTCCTTCCCTCTGTTTCCCCTCTCTCTCTTTTCTTCTCCATCTCCTTCTCCTCCCTGCTTCTTTCTCTTCCCCCTGCTCTCCCCCTTCCCACTTTCTCTTTCTCTGGCGTTTATTAAAGCAAATCCCAGACATCATATCATTTAACTCATTTCCTATACCATTTCCCGGAGGCAGGGAGGGCCACAAGAGAATGTAAGCTGAGGAAATGATATCTTATGATTATTTTCTTCACCAAAATATGGAATTTGTGTTACCGCGATAAGGGAAAATATAGAATTTCTCAAAACCTCTACATGATACCCCAGATGGTGCAGATTTGATTTTCCATCTCTAGGTCCTCTGCCTTGAGTCTTTGAGGGGGGTCTATGAGAACTTTTTAATCTTCCTTTACTATTCAAGTGGTAACAAAATAATAGCAATCTTGGATATTTATAAATCCCAAAGGAAGTGCATGTTGTCTTCTTGTTTCAAAGAGCATTCTGAGAGCATCACTTTTGCAGTAAAAATTGGTAAGTGTGCAATTTGAAGAGAGTTTCTACGACAAGGAACCAAATACATTTCCCCCAGTGCAAACCTCCTGAGCCGACTGTTAGGATGGTTTAAAGGTGCTTTGGATCAAGACCTAGAAAAGAAAGCGTGGTGTACAGTTGCTTTCATGCTCACACACATCAGATCGAAGGAGTATCAAGTAATTTGGAGGTGTGGTTATTTTCCATGAGTAAATGTCCAACTAAATTTGAGTAAAATGCTTTCTAAATAAGTCAAACAGACAGGAGCTTTGAATGAGGGAATTAATTATATATAGCGAGTGTCCTAAGGAAAAGAATCCCAATGTGGCACAGAGAATGTAATTATTGGAGGGTATATGCCAACAAATCATTCCCTAAAATATTAATGCTATCAAAGAACAGCTGGATAATGAGAGAAACTTGACCCTTGGGGACTAGCAGAGGTTGCTGCAGAACTGTATGTAGTTGTGATGTCATGGAATTCCTCTAAATTTAACAAAAATATTATTAAGAGGTGTGGTTCTGGGAAAGTTATTAGCAGTAAACATGTCTTTGTAGTTTTATCATCTTAGCACGATCATTATATCTCACTGTTGCTGTGCTTCCACACGACTTTCTTTCTCGGGATTTATACAATCCAAACAACACTCCTTAAAAAAAAAACCTCTTTAAGTCTGGCAAGGACTTTTCTTTTTTGTAAGTAAAAACACAGTACCTAAGAAATTTCTGCAAAAAAAATTTCCCATATGCTTATTTAAGTTCTTTAAGTCAAGAAAGACGGTCTCATTGTTTGTTTGTAGATAAAAGCCGGAACTTAATTGGGTTTTACTAAATAGCATATTATTGTCCCATGTAATATCTAACAGAACAATAAAGTTAAATATTTACACAGTCCTACTCAACATCTGAAATGTTGGGCATTATTTTTACATTCTCATAACTAAGTGCTAATCCCTATATTTAAAGTTAGAAATCAGAAATGACTCTTTCCTTGTAATATACTTGAACTTATATTTTAAAACAGAAACCGTTTCATTGAGTTACCAAAAAAAAAAAAAAAAAAGCTTCTGTGAGCCGACTGGACCCTCGCGAAGCTTTTGACCGCACAATTTCATGGCTGGTGAGCAGCAAACTTTGTCTTTTTGTTTGACTCAACTTGCCAACATCTAAATCAGTGACACGGGCATTCAGCGTTTCCTTTGACAAATAGGTCGAGATACGCGGAACATATTCACACGAACCAATAAATGATGAGAGGAAGTTCAGGATGCCGTAAAAATAAATTCTTGAGTTGAGCCCAGGTTTCACATAACGGCAGTTTCATAGGGCACTTACCCGGCTAAAGGCGCAGTGCCCCTGAAAATAGCACACGGGGGACACATCATTTAAATAAATGTGTTTCTTTGCCCGAACAGAAGTTCAGATCTGCTCAGTTATCATTAATTTTGTTCTTTTATATCCTCTGCGGGCGCGAATGGAGAAGCTGTGCTCTTTGAGGTTCTGTGAGTTGCCCTGGGCAGGCGGAGGTGACCCTCGATTTTTCACCCTGCGGCGCGTGTTAGGGGGACGGGGGAGAGTGCGGGTGTGTGCGCATTTGTCAAACGTGCCGGCCCTTCTGGAGACAGTGGAAACCTAGGGGGAAATCGCAGCGCAAATGTGGCGGGCCCTAAAAGTCATGCCATCCGCCCGAACCCTTAGAACAGGTGTCCCAGGAACGAGGCCGGATCTGTGCAACAGGTGACAGATGATTTGACAAACCTCAGCCACCCAATTCATAGTTGATTACTCCCCTAAAATGCAAACCTCAGGTCCCCACTCGCGCGCCAACTCGCGTGGGGAGACGGAGACCCGGAGGCCTTGGCCCTCTGCGGAGTTTGCTGGACTATGCGGGCTGTGTGTGTGTGTGTGTGTCTGTGCGCGGGGAGAGGGCCTGATCCCCCAAGTTTAGGGTCGCGTCGAGTCCCGGGGGAGTGCCAGGGGAGGAGGCGGCCGGGAAAGGCGGAGGAGGGCGCACGAACCAGAGGGCGCGCAGGACACGCAGCCGCGCCGCGCGCGCTCGGGCGGCGCGACCCGGGAGGCGGACTCTCTCTTAACCCTCGCTGTCTCCCCCTCCCTCTTCCTTTTTAAAGGACGCCGTGGAGGCAGAGCTGTCAGCAACCCGGAGGCCGTTTGTGCTTGGCCCGGCCAGGCTGACTCCCGCGACAGACAGGGGCGGGGGCTGAGGGGCCGCCCGTCCCGAAGCCCCAGACGTGGGCATTTCACGTTCTGCTGCTTCGGGCTCCGTTCTGGACCCGGCGACGGCGGCGAGTCCAGGTGCTGCGCGGCCCGGGAGTTGCCAGCCCCGGGCGCGATGGCTCCCGTGAGGAGTGGGGTGGGAGGTGGCCGAGGGCTGGGCGAGCCCCTCGCGCCCGGAGAGTTATGAGCGGGGCGAAGGACCGCAGCATCAGCCCGAGCCGCAGCCTCGGCGGGCGCCTCCCGCGGGCCCTGGCCAACTCGCCCCCGCGCACCATGCCGACCCCCGGCCGGCTGAGCCCGCCGCGCCGCAGCCCCTGCTTCCTCCCTGGCCCCCGCTAGCCCTCAGGGGACTGGTTTTGGCAGCCCGGGCAGCTCCCCAGGCCGCTCCCCAGGAGAGGCGGAACCGCGGGGCGAGCGGAGCCCCGGCTCAGCCCTTCGCTCTCCAGCCGCGTCCCCCTCCCGGCCGCCCGGCGCGCCCGCGGCGATGGGCGCGCTGCTGGCGCTCTGCCTGCTCTTGGGCTGGGGCCCGGCGGGCGCCCAGCAGCCCGGAGAGTACTGCCACGGCTGGGTGGACGTGCAGGGCAACTACCACGAGGGTTTCCAGTGCCCGGAGGACTTCGACACGCTGGACGCCACCATCTGCTGCGGCTCCTGCGCGCTGCGCTACTGCTGCGCCGCGGCCGACGCCAGGCTGGAGCAGGGCGGCTGCACTAACGACCGCGGCGAGCTGGAGCACCCGGGCATCACGGCGCGTGAGTACGGGCCCAGGGCGGGGCAGACCCTGCCCGGCCGCGCGGCCGGGCTGCGGTGCGTGCCGGCCGGTGCGCGCGCAAAGAGGCGTGCCAGGCCTTCCCGGGTCTGCGCAAAGGGGACGCTAGAAAGTGGGGGTATCAAGGGAGAAGTGGGTGGTCGCGTTTCAGGTCAGGGGCGCAGTTTCTTTGCAGTCCCGATTCCCGCCACACGCGGTCTCCGCGGGTCTGCCCAGGAGCTAGTTCGCCACGGGCCGCGAGGACCGCGGGGTTTGCACCCAGTGACTCTGGGGGAGAAAGAGGGAGCCCTGGGCGCGCACGACATTTCAAAGAAGGGCTGTGGCGGCCGCGCCAGGCTGGACTTGAGTTTTCTCGGGTGGTAAGGGTGCCCTATTCTGCGCCCTGGGAGCTCTGGAAGCTTTGAGAAGTGCTGATGGCGCAGGGAACGCAACTCTTGGGGTGCGTTTATCTGTAGCCCCGCGGCGGTAAGGAACTTAAGCCACATTTGTGTGTGTGTGTGTGGCCGCTTGGTCTTGTTTCTAAGCCCCATTCTCACGACTTCCTTTCATTTCTCTGCATCGAATTACCCACTCCGGCCCACCCCCCATTGTCACGCTTTTCAGAAATGCCCAGGTCCTCCGGTTGGATATTTAGAAACCGGGGTCGCAGGGGCTTTCCCGCCCCCTATTCTCACGTCGGAAAACACGGGTCAAGTTTCCGCTTACTTCAGAGCTGAATAAATCACAGCCCCAGCAGAGGAACTTTACACCTTAAAAAACAACAAAAAAAAACCTTTCCACCTGAATCGGAACTTCAGGGAGATCATTTAGAGCTCCAGGCGATGGTTTTACGGCCGGGGAAACCGGAGGAGCGGGGGCAGGGGGTGGGGGAAGCCGAGAGAGAGCCTCGACACCCCAGAACTCCAGAGCGGGGGTCTGAAGGGGGCCAGAGACGGTCCCCAGGCAAGGCGGGAGAGGCTGGGGGATGATTACCCGTGCTGGAGCCCCAGTCCCCCGAGACTGAGAACCCGGAGGAAAGGGGGACCCGCCTTCCTTAGAACTCAGTTAGACCTCCAGGGAGTTTAACTTTGGAGGGCGAAATACCAATCTAGAGGATTGAGGAAGTGGCTTCTGGGGGAAGGATGTTCAGTGGAAAGTAGGGAACTCTAAGGCGGCCTGGCCTGTTCGGAAAATACAAACTGGCTTCATTCACTCGCCCCCTCTGCACAGCAAGTGCCAAGCGCTGGGTCTGCCTCGGGGACCCCATCCTGGCCTTCCGCCGTGCTCTCTGGCAGGAGAGGGGGCAGCCTCCGCACCCACCCAGGCTGGGGTCTGGCAAAGCCTCAGCACCTTCCCTTGCCAGCTTGTCATTGGGGCGAGTTACTTAACTGCGCTGGGCCTCTTCTCAACTCTAAAATGGGCATGCTGCTCTCAGAGGAGTTAGGCTGTGGAATAAACGAGTGTATGGATGCTCAGCAAGGTGCTGAGTGAGTAGTCACTTTAGACTTGTCTTCTGCAGGGCAAGAAGTAGTAAGAGGCACTAGTAACCTTCTAGTACTTCTGCTGCTTCTACTTCTAGAAGTAGAAGTAGTGGTAACCTTCTTCTAGTAAGACAGGGCGGAGTGGGCGGCACCCGAGCTTACACCCAGGAGCCCACAGATCTTAGGGTGGATAGTTCTCTACCACTCATTGCCTATGTGTCTTTGGGAAACTCAGCGACTCTCCAATATGTTTCCACATCTGGAAACTAGACCATATCATGCCTACCTCACAGGGTTACATGAATCTGGAAATAAATACAAAATAGGCACACAGTAGGGTCTTAGTCAATGCAGACCTGCTTTCTTTTACCTCTAAGCCGGAGGTTTGCATCCCAAGGCAGCTCTATCAGGCAGGGGCCACAGCTGGAGGACTGCTTGGGAGGTGCCTCTGGGTGGGAAACATTATGTCTGCCTTATAGAGGGAGAAGGGAACTGGGGCTAACTCTGTCAAAAAGTTGCGCTTCCAGAAAGTGTGGGCCACCAACACCAAGGACCACACTGCAGTCTAGCTAAAGTTCAGTCTGACCTTCCCAGAATTTGAGTGGGGATCGGGAGGCAGGAGAGTGATGGCTGGAGGAGGCATCCCAAATTGTTTCTGGAAAGAAGTATCCAGACGGGACAGTTTGTGATGTGGTAGGAGACACGGGTAGTTGGGGCCTGCTATGGATTTCTTTATACTGTTCTTTCTGTAGTCTCGTAAAATCCCGGGGGGCTCACTTAACAGGTCCAGCTGTGGAGATTCTTGGATAGGAGGTGGATTTTCAGCCTTAGCATCCTTACGCACCCCACTGTGATAAAACTCCTAAAACCTGGATTGAAAGCCATTGTTATAGTAACCAGCCCCCAAACTCATCTTTTCTCTCCGTCCAGTGCGTGGACAGGAGGATAGAGTCTGTTCCTTCTGATGTCCAGATGTGCAGTATGATGGCTAATTGCTAACAGAGTCTACAGTATCAGGGTGCTTCCTCCCTGCTAGGAGCAAGAATATTCCATCATCACAGTTTGCAGTTCAGAGGTTGCCAGTAACAGGCTCCGAGAAGCCGGGCTGACAGGGGTGGCTGAATGGACCTCCCGCCTCCTCCCCACGAGCAGCGCAGAGTCTGGGAATCTCGTCTGAGTGCCTGTGCCTGTGTTTGCCTTCTAGAGCCCGTCTACGTTCCCTTCCTGATTGTCGGCTGCATCTTCATTGCCTTCATCATCCTAGGCTCTCTGGTGGCTGTTTACTGCTGCACCTGCTTGAGGCCTAAGGAGCCCTCTCAGCAGCCAATCCGCTTCTCGCTCCGCAGCTATCAGACGGAGACCCTCCCCATGATCTTGACTTCTGCGAACCTCAGGGCACCTTCCAGGCAGTCCAGCACGGCCACCAGCTCCAGCTCCACGGGGGGCTCCATCCGAAGGTTCTCCTTTGCCCGGGCAGAGCCAGGCTGCCTGGTTCCCTCTCCGCCCCCACCTTACACCACAGGCCACCCAATCCACTTGACCCAGCCGTCCGGCTTCCTGGTGTCGCCCCAGTACTTCGCTTACCCGCTCCAGCAGGAGCCCCCACTGCCCGGGAAGAGCTGTCCAGACTTCAGTTCCAGTTGACAGGCCGTGGCTGCAGATGCATCATCTGGAGCAGTGGCGCACCTGTGGATGCTGCCGCCATGGCCACCAGGAATCCCAAGACAGTTTCACTTGGACCAGCGACGTCATGGAGGAAAGCGCGAGGAAAACACAGCGCCTCTTAGTCTTGAGGTTCCTGGCTGCAGTCACAGAATGGCTGTGTTAAGAAAATTGCTTTCTGGCTTTGAAAGCATGGTGACTATTACATTTCAACTTATGCTACTTTTATTCAAAATATGCAGTAGTCCAACTTGAAAGTTACAAGTCAGCTGAAGCTGTTATATTGGACAACTCAGCTATCCTACATAGGCCTATCTGTTCTTTTTTCATTATAAGTTCTTTAGTGAGTGATAATACAAATATATACATAAGTAAGCAAAGAAATTGTACCTGATTGTAATTATCGAAGGTTCATTTAAAAAATTAACTGCTAAGTAAACTGAAGAGACAGTGAACAGCCTGTTTATAATTTGGGGAGCAACTTAACTGGGAATAACATTAGCATCATGACAACAGTTATTTTTTAAATCAATGGCTAAATTTTGTTGAAATATAAGAGTGTCTTCAGAAAAGAAGATTTCAATAACTGCATGAGAAATTTAACATTTTAAATATTTACTTAGATATTCATTGTAACAGAGATCTTATGTAAAAGCATTTCCCCCACCTGCCCAAGGGAATATTTATTGCAGACGTTTTGTTCAGCAACATTTAGTGTTTAAATCAAAGTTGAACAGTTGGGTCTTAAAACATTTATTTGTAAAATGAGTTATGTACAAATGTAAAGATTTGTAATTTAATGTATTTACTACACTGATGGTACTAATTATTTAGTAGTCACACTGTAATTTTTTATGTTAATAATAAGCGTGGAGTTCAAAGTCCAGCTTTAACTATAATCTTCTGATATTATGTATCTTAAGTGCCACTGAGTTCCATGTCTGATGACTAAATATTTGGGCATATATCCTGCTGGATTAGAATGAATAAAATGCTTTATGCTTTCATGACACCTCTTTGAAAGTTTAGATCAAAGTGCTTCATTGTATCTCCTTAATAATACTCTCCGCTATTCAATAAAAGGGAACGTCTGTACCTAACACTTCGTAATTTGAAATGAAAAAAAAAAAAACAATCCTACGTGAATTTTGTATTATGTTGGAAAGCTGTTTTCTATATTGGGATGCCTGAAAGCAGCCAAGGACGTGAACGTTTATAGAGACATCACCCCGTGGGCTGCAATCCTCAGATGTGTCATTTGCATAGATTTAAGAATTGGGACATTTCTCATAAGAATCTGAATTTTGGCTTCTCGTGGCATGAAGAGGATGTGGCCCGAGGGTGCTGTTTTGCTGGGGGTCGGAGGTCCTTTTCAGGAGGTCCTTGCCTTCCACCAGGCTTGTGCCTGGTCTCCCTGGCCTGGCCCATCTGCCTCGGTTTTGCTGCCTCTTGGCTCCTTGGGTGTCCTTCGGAAACCCAGGTTTATGTGGGTCCATACTATTGTATGTCATCCTCAGTAGCTCCTGTCAGATACAGATCCTTTAGAGGTGGAATGCTGACCTAAGGAAAGTCATCTGGCCTTGACTCTTTGTTTTCGAGTTGAGGAAGCAAGTTGGAAGATGCTGTGTCTTTTTGCCCAGACTGATGGCAGGACATCTGACTTCTGGTCTCCTGCTTTCTCCTGTAACTGATCCAGGTATCCAAAGTCAGCCCAAATAATAAAGGAATAAACATAAGAAGGAAGGGAGGGAGGGGGGAGGCAGGAGGAAGGAAAGAAAAGGAAGGCGCCGGAGAGGGAAGGAGGGAGAAAGGCTGCAGGTAGAAGGAGACGCATTTGTGTGAAGCTCTGGATTCACCCTCGCGTTAGGCTGGCTTTATTCGTGTTGGTTACCTACCGGTCCTCTGCTATTTTAATCTTCACGGGGCTCTTACGACTCGAGGAGGATTCTAAATATTTACAGGCACTAACTCCCCCCTCCGCCCCCGCAAACGGTGCAACATGGAGGTGTTCTAATTCCTATCTTACAGATTTGGAAACCAAGGCATACAGGACTGAAGTAACTTGCCCACGTCCCACAGCTCCTCAGACCTGGAGCTGTCTGCATAAGCAGATTCCTACAGCGAGGGAACACCGGCTTTGAGGTTCCTCTGTCCCTGGGCACACAGTCCACTGACAAGTGAGGCGTGAGGCTCAGGGCCTCTCTCCAGAACAGTGATTATTAACTCCGTGGGATCTCGTCAGTTTTCCTTAGAACAAATGCTTTGTGTCACGCCTTTAACTGTCCCCCAGCTTTGCTGGTGCCTCAGATGGTAGAGAATCGGCCTCCAACGCAGGATATCCAGATTTGATCCCTGGATTGCGAAGATCCCCTGGAGAATGGAATGGTAACCCACTCTAGTGTTCCTGCCTGGAGAGTTCTGTGGACAGAGGAGCCTGGCGGACTGCAGTCCAATCGGGTTGCAAAGAGTCGGACATGACTGAGTGACTGACGCTTTCACTTTTAACTGTCCTAAAATGAAATTCCTAGATCATATTACTCATTACACATATACTTAAAAACAATCAACATAATGTCTTAATGGTAAATAGAAAAGAGAACGAAAAGGAGAATTATTTCATAATGTAAAAGCTTCAGCAGATTTAACAGAGGACTCACAGGAGCACCTCTTCACACGGGAATAACCGAGATGTGACAGGCCCAGTCCAGACCTACGCAGGCTCACAGCACTGTCCATTTACACTCCAGAGTCGCCCTGCTCTTACTGAGATTTTCTCCCAAAGTTGGATCTTCTTTTAATCTGCACCATAGTTATATATATCTGGAAAATTCAGGGTATATTTAAGGTGGTGCAGAAAATGTTTACATAAAATGGGACTAGAGTTTTCCACTGATAGGAATGGAGGGATATTTCAAAGTCCTGCTCATGGACATCAAGTCTTTGTTGGGCCAACTGCCTCATGCGCTGTAGGATCTCTGAAGAACAGAAGCTCTATATGTTGAAAGGTAGCTATGCAGACAGTCAGTCAGGTTAGTTGCTCAGTCATGTCCGACTCTTTGCGACCTAATGAACTGCAGCACACCGGGCCTCCCTGTCCATCACCCGGAGCCCACCCAAACCCATGTCCATTGAGTTGGTGATGCCATCCAGCCATCTCATCCTCTGTCGTCCCCTTCTCCTCCTGCCCTCAATCTTCCCCAGCGTCAGCGTCTTTTCAAATGAGTCAGCTCTTTGCATCAGGTGGCCAAAGTAGTGGAGTTTCAGCTTCAGCATCAGTCCTTCCAATGAACACCCAGGACTGATTTCCTTTAGGATGAACTGGTTGGATCTCCTTGCAGTCCAAGGGACTCTCAAGAGTCTTCTCCAACGTCACAGTTCACAAGCATCAATTTTTCGGTACTCAGCTTTCTTCACCGTCCAACTCTCACATCCATACATGACCACTGGAAAAACCATAGCCTTGACCAGACGGACCTTTGTTGGCAAAGTAATGTCTCTGCTTTTTAATATGCTATCTAG